TTAATGAAAAATATAATGAAAGTAATAAAAAAGAAGCCTTTATATTATAATCAACCACAAGACCAAAGCTACCTTAGTAAAACAGTATTTATCCACAAATAATTATATATTTGCGCCTCTCCATTTTCCTCCCTCGTTGGGAGGGGGAGAAACGCGCCACTCAGTCATCAGTTCACCCTCAGCTTTAGTGATGGGAATACCTGTGATTTTACAATCACAGTTCAAACAGTGATTGCTCACTTGTCTGAACTGTGATTTATAACTGTGATTCGCAGTGATCATGCTTTGAATCATTGGAAAAATCTTCGATTGTGTAATACAATACAAAATAATACAAGTGCAGAAGGGCACGGTACCCATTTGAGCCGTGTCCATAATTTGTTAAATTAATAGTGGTTTACAGCAACTGGATAAAACATTTTACAATATTTATGTAGAAATATGTGCATGATTTAGAAAGTCATTAAGCTGGAAAACTGCAATATACTGCATATGTTTCAGAGAGGTTACTTCGATGTATTCATTCAGCTTAGTGAAAACATAATAGGTCTATCTCAAAATAGATAAGTATACAAATAAGAACTTGAACTCTTAGAGAGCCTTTGGATGTTATTAGACTAACGAAAAGGGTCTATGCAGATAACATTATTTCTGGTTTTATACAGTATACAGTACATTGCCGAATATACTGGCAAATAAGAGTATATTTGAATTATATACGCAATCCTCTAAATTATAATATTGCGTACTGGATTAGTGATAAATCACGATCAGCAGTATTGAAGTAAACAAAAATCAGCTGTAAAATGGCTGCTAATGCTATTCTTATGGAGAACACATTACTTTAATTTACTTTTCCTACAGTCACCCGACAAAGTTGGCTTCCTTGTACTGTTTATAGTACAGAAAGCTGCTAATTTCTGCTTTGCTTTGTTTATACTTTGCCGTACGGTTTATACTTTGTCGTACGGTTTATACTTTGCCGCACATCATGATTCCAACGAAACAACACAAAACAGCGTGGTTCTATTATGCACGTAATCCGTGTACGCTTGGAAATATGTTGGCAACACTTAAAGATAATAATACTATGAGCAGCTGATTGACTATTATAACTACGATTTAATCTGTCATTTCGTGTTTACAGTTTCGGTATTTCTGAACTTTCTGGACTTTTCTTTTAAACGTTTTTAAAACATTCCTACGATCTGAATCAACAAGGAAATACCTTTAAAGCATTTTTTAGGCGTGGAAACCACTTCAAATTACAAAAACATACGGAACTATATTCTCAAAACGCGGAGCTCATTTCTTGCCTTGGAAAAATAGCGGAGTGACACGGACCGCGGGTACTACTTTCTCTAGGGCACCATTTGTGTTGCCAGCTGAACCTAAAAACGTGTTGTATAGTGTTTGAAAGACTAATTATTTATACGCTTTATAGTGACTGTAGGAAAAATATAATGTGTAACACGAGTGAAAAAGGCCTTTGCTGCACTCGAGATCATTCCGCACTCGCCTGCGGCTCGTGCGTAAACATTGCTCTCGTGTGCAGCAAAGTGCCACTTTGTATATGCCTTAACCCTGGTTTTATATAGTATACAGTATGTTGCAGAATTGACTAGCAAATGGAGTAATCCAAATGTAATTTTGAATACTGGCTTAAAGATAAATCACGATCAAAAAAGTTTTGGAATTTCACTACCGGTATTTTTCCCGCCGTTACGGGATCGAGACCTTTAATTTGAGCCCTCTCCGGTCGTTCTACAACTTCCCAGTTGCCCACAATTTTGACGCAAAGAATCGGCTTACGTCATTAATATATAGTTGTGTCATAATTTAAAAAATCCGGTACAGCAGTAAAGCAGTATAAAAAATTCAGGCTAAGAATCATGAAACAGTCTTGTTCCCCATCCGTGGGGCAGGACTAAAATTGAAGTTTAAATTTTGATTTTAAAATAGCCACCTAAGTAATCATTCTCTAATTGTTATGGAATATGCTCAGGTTCATTGTTAATAAGTATGTGCAATATTTGATATAATACTAAAATTTGAAGGCTTTACTTTCAATGTCCTTTATTTTATTGTTATATTTAAAAGTTATTGCTAAAACTAATATTTGTAATTGTAATTTATAACATTATAGATTCCGTGCTTGCAATTATACAGGTAGTAATAACGTTTAGTTTTGAAATCCGAATAGAATTAATAATAAATAAAAAAAACAGTATTTTCTACCACTTGTAGCTACGGGCCACCAGTTCTGGTTACGATAGTAATAATTCCCTGTGTTGGGAGGGAAACGCCACCGAGCGTCCTTACTCGATATAATGGGGGCGAAAAGCGACGAATTACCCACCCAGCCGTGGCGCGGGGATTTCTGAAGCGTCCGTCCGGGTGAAACACCATTTTGAGGATGTCCGCGTCAAACACGTCCGGGCTAAACACGGAGCCAGGTGGTTTTAAATGCTTAAAAGTTTTTGATAATTTTGATTAAATTAATAATTGCTAAATTTCCATAAATTAAAATCTTTGTATTTATAAATCTAATTCCAAGGTAGCAATCAATTAAAATTTAATATAAAATTTGCTCGTATTTCTATTCACCTCTATAGCTGCCATAAAATTTAAAGGCCTATTCTTAAAATTGTTTCAAGTCTTCAATTTAAAAATAAGACCAAAACCTAGTTCTTGGAGTTTTTGCCATACATAAAGCATATCACGTACCACTTTTGAATTTTGAATACATCAATGAATGAAGCACATTTACTGTTAATCACACATTTTACTCCATAATTGTACTTCAGCAACAAAGACAAACAGAAATAATCAAAAGTATTTTAATTTAAATGTTGTAAGGCTTGCAAAACACTTCTGATGATTTCCACGTGCCTGTTTGCGACTTCTCATTGTTAGCAGAATCGGAACTGAAACCAGCTAACCTGCTAACCATAAGTTCAAACAGTTTGACTTTGATTTGTTTTTATTTTGAAAGATTTCCTATCCATTTTTATTTTACTTGCGCCACTTGGGTGCACACGTTTCATTTTATAAACTGAACGATTCACGTGTTAGTAATCTTTCAAACAATACGTCATAACCCACAACGTAGGAATGACTGGAAACAGGTGCCGGTGATTAAACTAGTCGTAACACCGTACTCGACCTTTTGGTGTTGAGGCTGACTGGTCGAATAAAATCAGTAGTAGATAAACTGACGGATAGGACTTGGGAACAGTTTATAGGGATGATACATAAAATGTAATTGCATTTATTTTTGTTGTTTGAAGAAATATAAAATTGCCAAGACACTGTGTCTTATATACTGATGATTTAGATTTTAATGCCTGTAGTAAAATCTGTTTTAAAAACCAGGTAACAAATAAATAGGAATATTTGTTATACTGAGTTAGAGACATTAGGCCTACTGAATAATTTAAATCTTGCAGTCATGTAATAAACTAAACATTTGTAATTAATTGTAAATGTTGTCATTCTATTACGTTTTATACCAAAGTAACAAAATATTAATGCAAATGACAACAAACAATAGGAAGCAAGCGGGAAAACTCAAATGTTTAAAGTAAAATTATATTCGCCACCAGTTGTTGTTGTAGTGGAATTCACTCGGTTTTTCATTCGACTGAAAAAACCACTGGTTTTAAAAACAAACGACTGACAGATTGACTAGTTGATAGTTTTTTCCAGTCGGTTGTCCCATCACTATACTAGTACAAGCGCTAAGCTGTCTGCTTGACCGTGCAATTCCGTTTGTCAGTCTTGCTGGTAAAACCAGCGAGACTGACAAACGCGTTCACGGACGTTTTTACTCTAGTGTGGCCTGCCCCATATACCGTAATGTATCTCTCAAACCCACGGGTAACGCCCGTGGAAAAAATTCAGCGAGATAAGACGAGTGTGGCCCCGGCCTGAGGGGCGCAGACGCACCGGCACGGCAATGTCTAGTCACTACCGCGGAGCGCTGGGCGAACGGTGCGTTGCAGTGAGATCGGTGACTATCCTCTAGTACCGAGTGACTATCACTGTACTTAGAGGCTACCCCTAACTGTAATTCAATTAAAAAAAGAGTATTGTTTATTTAAAATAGTTTTTGCAATTCTACGTCGCTGTGAAACAGTAAAACAAAATATTTGTTTATTATAACTAAATTTTTTTAAATTGATTTTTTGTCTTTTGGAGGCTCCCTTGAGCCGGAGGCCCTCGGGGATCGCCGACCAGCCGCCCTGGCCAGACCGGGCCTGCCTCACATCCAACCGTTGACTCAATACCACCGCCGTATCTCCATAAATCACCATTTATTCTTATTTGTACCATACTAGCATAGACTAGTATGTTTTATCTATGATACTAGGTAGCAAACAGGTGAACAACTGAGAGCGGACTAGTGAAATAATTAATGTTGGCATCACTTTCCTTGCCCACAACACAGTTGATATAAAATCTAGCGTTGCTGGTGCTGCAAGCTGCAAACCACATATAAATTGTGCAGCCGCATGTGTCTTTTGCGGTGAGACAAAAACCGCAACCGCTGTAAAAGGCTGTATAAGGGCCCTTCACATCCACCGTTGACTCAATACCACCACCGTGACATCTTCATAAATCGCCACTTTCTTACTTGTACCATAGATAAAACGTACTCGACTAGCTTGTACCGTAGCAGTACCTTACATATCTTTCTTCGATCTTTCTGTTTTGTGTATTCGTATTTTGTGTAGTCCTCTATGACTGATGTAAATGACTCAGTTCTCAACGAACTTAGAAATCTGATGCATATTTAAGCGTATGCAGAAGGACCTCTATGCATGAAACATGCTTACTAATCTCTTATAATCAACGACTTAATGATGTTTTTCTTATCGGTACATCTCCCCCTTATTATCATCTTTGACTATCATTATAACGTAGTCAATGGAAGGATGTTTGTTTTGTTTTGTTTGTTCTTGTTCCGCTCCGTTCCGCAGCGATTTTAATTTTAGTGTTTAGTCAACATAACATCAACATCACTCAGCACTCTTCACTACTTCACTAGGACTAGGCTTGTTTTGTTAGGGTCTCAGTTCACTATAAAATCAATCTGTAAACAGTGAACTAGTGAAGTTAAGTTAACCTATAAACCTAAGTTAGTCAAATGTAGATGACAGCAGCCCCAAGTTAGGCTAGTAGAATCATTCAACTGTGAACTTGAAACAACTTAGGCCTAAGAACCTACTGAAAAGTTGAATAATTTGACATTTTTTGCTAAGTTTAAAATGGTTACTAATCGGACTATGTTCACTGTGATTTCAGCCGTAGTTTTAATCTTCCTTTTTACATCGGGTGGGTTTTGCTTATCTCTTAAGAAGAATGGTCCTCATCCTCAACCAACTCTTATCCTATCCTAATATCTTATCCTAAAAAATCTTAAAAAATCTTATCCTAAAAAAGTGTCTAGACCTAAGAATACAAAGCATCCACTGGCTCCAGAGTGGAAATCAGAGACTATTGTAATATTGAGAAGATGGTTGCTTCTTTCTTACGATATTTATAGACAAGAAAAAACCCTTGAAGCCAAGAGGAGGTATCAAGCGATAAAGAAAGATTACCAGGTGAGTTTAGTACGGTCAAAACAAGAACACAATGCTAATTTCATTGAGTCCTCTCAAAATTCTTGTGCTGCCGCTTGGTCTGTCATCAAAAAAGAGGGGGCCCCTGCAAAAGCAAAACCAACTACTAGACTTTCTGCTGAGGAGCTGAATGATTTCTTCATTAATTCTGTCCAACAGACTCGGGATGCAATTGGTACTCCACCAACCCCCGCTGTAAACCTCCTAGCCCAGCATCCTAGACCAACATGTTCTTTTAACATTGAACCTGTCTCTTGTGAGAAAGTGCTATCTGTTGTACATAAGATGAATAGCTCTAAAAGTAAGGATGTTTTTGATCTCTCTGCAATCTTAATTAAGAATGTGATTTGTCATATTTTAGTTCCACTCACCTATTGTATCAATGTTTGTATCAAGGAGGGCGTTTTTCCAGATGTCCTAAAAACAGCCAGAGTAGTCCCTGTCCATAAAAAGGGGAACCATAATGTGCCTGAAAATTTTAGACCTGTATCTATTCTCCCTGTGTTTGGTAAGATTTTTGAAGGTATAATTAAGGATCAAATGTTACCTTATTTTGAAAGTAATGGACTGCTTGTGTCAGCCCAGTATGGTTTCAGATCAGGCCGTTCCACAATCGATGCAGTTGAAGTTCTGACTGGGGTTGTTTTAAAATCATTTGAGAGGGGAGGCTTTGCTGGGGCCACAATGTGTGACCTCAGCAAGGCTTTTGACACCGTGGACCACAAAATTTTGCTTGACAAACTCCATTTTTATGGAGTTAGGGGTAAGGGTTTGGACTTACTGGGATCATACTTGGGCGGGCGCAGACAGTTTGTCTCTGTAAATGGTCAGTCCTCTGTTGTCAAATCTTTAACTCATGGCGTCCCACAGGGGTCTGTCCTTGGGCCCTTGCTTTTCAACATAATGATAAATGACCTTTCTTTGCATTTGGGAGAGGGGGTTGTTTGCTATGCTGATGACACTACTCTAATTGGGGTAAATGATAACTTAAATGTCCTGCAGGGCACTATGTCTCAGACTCTCCAAATGGCCTCGGCGTGGTTCCGAGCTAACTTTCTCTTCCTGAATGAGAGTAAGACTCAGTCCATAATATTTAGTCTTAGACAGCTTAAGCAAGATGTCACAAGCGTTAAACTACTTGGATTAATGTTGGATCCTAAGCTGGATTGGAATAGTCACATATCTTTTGTATGTAGTAGACTTTCCAGGGTGATTCACTTGCTCAGGAACTTGAAGAACTCTGTACCCACTGAATGGCTAAGAACTGCCTACCTTGCCTTTTTTCAGAGCATAATTCTTTATGGTTTAAGACTTTGGGGTGGCACTCCGGGAGTCGAGAGGGTTTTGACGCTCCAAAAGGCGGCAGTCAGAATCTTGGCAGGTGCTGATTTTCTGGACCACTGCAAACCTATCTTTATTTCTGAATCCGTTATGACAGTGTACAGCTTATATATTTACCAATCTCTTCTGTGTACTAAGCAGGAGTCAGGCTCTCTCGAACTCCGAAGTGATATCCACCCTCACAATACTAGGAGGAAAGACGACTTGAGTGTACCCTATGTTAGATTAAGAAAGGTCCAATCTAGCTATTGTATACAGAGATATAAGTTTTTTAACAAACTCCCTTGTACAGCTCGGAACCTGCCGGAAGCAAAGTTCAAAATGGGGATTGAATCTCTTCTGTTGGCAAATCCGATTTACTCATTCAAAGAGTATTTTGAAATTTCACCTGGCCAAGTAAGTAAGTTTTTTTAGCCAATGAGTGCCAATGTGTGATGATAAATAAGTTTTGTTTTTGTTTTTCAATTCTCTGCATGGTGTGTTGCAGGCTTAGGCTAAGATTTTGATGTATTGACGTTTCCTTGTACATATTATGCTTTCAGGAAATAAATCATTCTCATTCTCATTCTCATTCTCATTCTCATTCTCATTCTCAACTCCGCCCAAACCTATTGTTATTTGGCATGGAATGGGTAAATATTTTTTGTGAAATATTTAGACTTAAATGAATAACCTACGGTAGCCTAAGTTAACCCTTAACTGGCGCGATAAAAGCTTACATACGATAATTTGACATAGGTAATTTTACAAGTATGGTGGCAACCCTGGTGAGCATGACAGTAACTTACCGGTAGCTGCCTTAAATAGCATAATTAGCAATTGCGAGATGTTCGAACAATCAAAATGTTCCTTCTCGAGATGTTCCGCTTATGTCGATTGTTTCGATTGCTTAGCGAGAGGTTTGTACAATCGAGATGTTTCTCTCGATTGTTGCATTCCTTAAGCCTAAAGGTCTGTTCGCATCTGTCTATACATTTCATGAGAGTTTTTACGAGGATTTTAGTTCTTTTTCTAGATTCTTATAGAATAGTAGACTATTATCATAGACAAATAGAATAAATATTTATTCTATTATTATGAACAACATATATACTGCTAACATATGAATAAGTAAGGCCTACTTACAGGGGTGCCCATCCCCCCCTAGACTCATGACGCAACCCCCCCCCCGCAATTGAGCAACAGCCCCCCCCCATAAATGATGTACACAACAAATTAGAAACATTATTCCCCCGCCCAGCACTATTTGTAAAACTATAAAAGAAGTTTTATAATTTTTTTAGATATTTAAAATTCAAACCCAGTTAATCTATATCAATAAAGTTATAGGGTAATTATATCGACCTCCGGACCTCACGCGAAATTAAAAAAATTTTTTTCCAAAATGTTCGAAATTTCACGCTGATTTCAAAAACGATTGTCGTTTTTTTCGGAAACGTCCCGTTTTCCCGGAAAATGGGAAAAACGGGAAAAATATTTTTTTGCTCAAAACCCATGTTGTGGGTACTCAAATTGTGCGGAATTTCCTCCTGAACAGGAATATGTAAATTTTATTACGATCGGACCACTATTAAGTAAAATATCACCGAAAAACGGGAAAGCGGGGAAATTTTTCTTTGCTCAAAACCCATGTTGTAGGTACTCAAATTGTGCGGAATTTCATAATTAAAGTAAGTAAGTATTTTTAAGTAAAACATCACCGGACAGGTTACCTAACCTAACATAACCTAATTTAGGTTTAGATTAGGTTAGGTTAGGTTGGTTTAGGTTAGGTTGAGTTTGGTTAGGTTAGGTTAGGTTAAGTTTGGTTAGGTTAGGTTGGTTTAGGTTAGGTTGAGTTTCGTTAGGTTAGGTTAAGTTTGGTTAGGTTAGGTTGGTTTAGGTTAGGTTGAGTTCCGTTAGGTTAGGTTAAGTTTGGTTAGGTTAGGTTAAGTTAGGTTAGGTTAGTTTAGGTTAGGTTAAGTTAGGTTGAGTTTTGTTAACCTTCGAATCTAATCCTGTTTAGGTTAGGATAGGTTAGGTTAAGTTAGGTTAGGTTAGGTTGGTTTAGGTTAGGTTGAGTTTCGTTAGGTTAGGTTAAGTTTGGTTAGGTTAGGTTATGTTAGGAGCTTAGTTTAGGTTAGGTTGAGTTTTATTAGGTTAGGTTAGGTTAAGTTTGGTTAGGTTAGGTTAGTTTAGTTTATCAATAACATGAGTATTGTAAGTAAACTAACCTAACCTAACCAAACTAACCTAACCAAACTTAACCTTACCTAACCTAACGAAACTCAACCTAACCTAAACCAACCTAACCTAACTTAACTTAACCTAACCTAACCTAACCTAACCAAACTTAACCTAATTAAACTAACCTAACCTAAACTTTCCTAACCTAACCTAACTTAACCTAACCTAACCAAACTTAACCTAACCTAATGAAACTCAACCTAACCTAAACCAACCTAACCTAACCTAACTTAACTTAACCTAACCTAACCAAACTTAACCTAACCTAACGAAACTCAACCTAACCTAAACCAACCTAACCTAACCTAACTTAACCTAAACTAACCTATCCTAACCTAACCTAATCTAAACCTAAGTTAGGTTATGTTAGGTTGGGTAACCTGTCCGGTGATGTTTTACTTAAAAGCAATCGTAATAAAAACTACATATTCTTTTTCAGGATGAAATTCCGCACAATTTGAGAACCTACAACATGGGTTTTGAGCAAAGAAAAATTTCCCCGCTTTCCCGTTTTTCGGTGATATTTTACTTAATAGTGGTCCGATCGTAATAAAATTTACATATTCTTGTTCAGGAGGAAATTCCGCACAATTTGAGTACCCACAACATGGGTTTTGAGCAAAAAAATATTTTTCCCGTTTTTCCCATTTTCCGGGAAAACGGGACGTTTCCGAAAAAAACGACAATCGTTTTTGAAATCAGCGTGAAATTTCGAACATTTTGGAAAAAAATTTTTTTAATTTCGCGTGAGGTCCGGAGGTCGATATAATTACCAGTTATAGTTTTGTCTGAAAATTGCTCAGAATTGTACATAATTTGGGATATTTATGTTTTATACATTGAAGAAGTTGAAACATGTCTTATCTCAATTTATGTCCGTCTGTCGTCACGGCCCAGAATGCATTTTATGCAGCCTACTCATGGCCTACTCTAAAGAAAACTAGAGTACCGATTATGATTCTAATGGTTTAATTGTATCCACAAGATTGGCGAGAGAGTCCTTATAGCCATTAAAATATGGCCTCACTATTTTGGAAATAAAATAACGGACGATCAAAAACACAATTTTGTGTGATTTTTCAAGTTTATTTTCTCCATGTTTACTACATACGTCATTAATTTATGAAATACTAATAATCTGTTATGAGAACACGTCATGTATGAAATTATGAGCAGCTGTTTTGATAAAGATTCCTTTTCCTAGCTGTCACTGATATGTTTACATAAATGTTCTTTAAGAATACTGTGTAGGCCCTAACCATTTCCGATCACGTTTGTAAGCAAATCCAAAACCAAGTGAGATTAATAACCGTGTGGCTTTGGCTTACATAACGGGTTTGATTTATCACGAGTACTAATATGTAACTGTAAATTAAATGAAATAACTAGCCATCATCCAGGTCGGGAACCGGAGATTCTGTTTGTATCAAGTTGTACTTGAATTTTGATTACAGGGAAAAGACCGTGAATCAGTGTTGAACAGGACTGGAAAACTTATCTTTCTATATAAATAAAATTAGAGTTTCATAAATCACCTCAATTTAAGGAATTTTTTATTGCCAGAATATCCATACAGCGTTCGTAACCTGCTTAACGAATTGTCAGCGTCTTTCTCGATATTACGATCCCCTCTCCCTCCCTTTAGAAACATCACAGCTCCTTTGATGAAAATGAAATGGAAACAACGCTTGCGCCAACAATCGTCTGCTCCGTACACTTCTGTCTGCTGTGCGCTATGTTACAACAGATTTCAGATACAACAGCTCTAGGGAATGATGACGATATAATGCTTAGTACACTGTGATTGAGTGATAACCATGGTAACTTTAGTAAGGCTGTGATTGGCCAATGAGTAGACCTAAATATGGCGACTTGTTGAATTCGTGTATGAATTGAAGAGAAACCTATTAAAGAACAGAAGAACAAAGAAAGAGAATAACAAGATTGTTCTCGTTACATTCTTTTTTAAGAGTGTTTTAATTATCTCTCAATATAATTTTACAATTTTTTATTACTTATCTATCAATTCCTATGCTGTGTTACAGCACCTATCGGTAGCCTATCCGTCTATCATGAGCAGTACCTTATAACACTTTCTAAAGGTTCCTTTAATAATTTACGTTATTTATAGCAATACAATGTTTGGCTAGTGATTAGTTGAGTTTGAGTTAGCTACAATTTTAAACGTTTCCGTTTGTACAACTGAACCAAGATAAATGATTTGAAATTTACAATAATACCGGTAATGATTGTGCAATATTGAATTTCGTTTATAAAAATGTAAATCGTGACGTTTATGGCTGTTTACAGCGTTTTAATGAGTTTGTCATCTGTTTTTATACTATATTGGATTAACCGTATTTTTCATTCCCCCCCTCTCCCTATTAACTCAGGTAATCGAGTATCTACACAATAGTGTAAAGTATTGTAGCCTATGCTACTTGCTACTTGATTGTATTTTAACGAGCTTTATGTCAACAAAGCGTTCTGCTGTGCTAAGTCGCGGTGTAGCTGGACGTGTCTGTACCACGCGTTATCTTTTAACTATCACAGCAGTTGAGCCATCCCGTGCGCTCCCTCTTAGATCTCACGTCTTGCTAATCTTAAATAAAAACTTTCTACACGAATCCTAAACTATCCTAAAATCCTATTTTAACTAATTTAATTCAATAATATAACTATTGTCATTAATTAATCCACTTTCTATCTGGCGACTTCGTAATGTATTTTGGATTGTCGTCACGTTGAACATTGTTGCTATTAACTTTAGCCCCCCCCCCCATTTGAATTTGTTGAGCCCCCCCCCAAGAATTTCAATGACGCAGTCTGCGTCACGGCCCCCCCTTGTGGGCACCCCTGCCTACTTACGTCACTCCGTCATGGCAACAGAAATAGAAAATTACCTATTTTAAAGTAAGTTAATTGGGTAATGGGTAATGGTAAAAAAATACTGTTAACAAAACATTTATGAGAACCTTCTGTCTCGTTATAAAAATTTTGTTTTAAATACAAACATTTTGTTTATTACCTATCTTGTCTTGTCAATAGCCTACTTGTTATTGAGTGGTATTAAGGCACTATTCCGTAGATAAAGTAGATAAGTATATCCATAAACCTTCCTTAAGTTAGTTTTGAAGTAAAAAGATATACCTCTTATTGGGGGTCAATCCCCGGCAGATACAATAGGCCTATAAATTAGATGATAATAAATTACGATGCCGCACTCTTAACAAAACAATTGCCATGAACATCTCGTTAAAAACTCTCGGTAAGGACTTCTCGCCTCTCGGTTCTCTAGACGAATGTGAGATATGAGAGAAGAGAAGCCGTGCTGAAACGAAACAATCGTCACAAACATCTCGTTACAACCTCTTGGTAAGAACATCTCGGTCTCGCCTCTCTGTTCTCTAGACGAATGCGAGAAGCAAGAGCAAGATACGAGAGAAGAGAAGTTAGTGCTGAAACGAAACAATCGTCACGAACATCTCGATAAAACCTCTTGGTAAGAACATCTCGCTAAGCAAAAATACAATCGAAACGTCTCGAGAGGTTCAAAAAATCGAAACGTTTTGATTGTAACATCTCACAATCGCGCATCACCAGTAAGTTATCAGTAGCCTAAAGTGCTAAGTGCAGTTAAGTGCTAAGTATCAGTATCCAAGTAAGTTAAGTATCCAAGTAAAATGGTACCCAGAAAAGTAATGAGACAATTTTAGGGAGGTACAACTTACTAACAACTTTGCGGCCAGATCGTTTTGAAGGATTAAGATGCGTTTTGCCTCACTACAACCTCCCCAAAATAAGTACCAAACCATATTAAATTAAGCTATGAAGCAGCCATAGTAAACCTTAAGGAGAATATCGATGTCAACCAACCAGCTTTTGTAGTCTAAACACCAGGTAGGTGACAGATGACAGTCTGGGTGCTACTGCATCGACACATGTGTCAGGCTTCTTCCTGTTATAAAACCATTAATTTGACGAATTGATCATTAAAATGATCTTCTCAACCTATGATCAATGTTTTGAGCCACATCACCACTGGTTTTGCGGCTGTTCTGTGTTCGGTATTTATAGTTAAGCTGCTCGGGGCGGTCACTTTTAGATTTCAACACCCCTTGCAATGCTAAATAGCAACATTTCCACAAGTAATTCTCTCTTTAACTTCCTCCGCCATAACATTGATTTCTGTCACCAGGGATTTCAATTATACGTAAATCTACTTAAGTTACTCTTTGATACTCTTTGTTTGACAGCTCCACCATTTCTTCTCGTAACTATTAATTCACTAAATTATATTTATTTACACAGATGAGAATCCAACAACGCCTTTACTCAAAGTATTATAGCCTACTAATTCAGAAAATCACATTAAGTTATAAATCTAAATTAAATAATGTAGCTAAATCTATTTTATCGGCATAGAATAAAAATTTATGCCTACATCTAGGCTCTGTAAGCCAAATTTAATTTTAAGTTAAACACACATATAGTATTTTAACAACAATCAATAGCCTATAAGTGAAGCTTTCTATAACGGATCTACCATTGTTTTTTTTAAGGTGACAATTGCTGTAATCCTCTCAGTGTTGGATACATCAAGTCCTACATAGAGCAACAGCTTCGAGGAGTATACGTGTTGTCTCTAATGATTGGGAAAAACATTATTGAGGTGAGTATTTGCTGTAGGCTACTGTATTAATATTATTTTAACAAGGTTTTACCTATACTTTTTAGCGAATTTCCCATGAGGGATTGAGCCATTACTGTAGGTCTCATGGAAGGAGCTGGACCCGGTACCCATTACTTTCTCGTTTTGATGTCACCAGAGGCGAAAAACACCATCTGTTCAAATTAATGTTTATATTTATTTATGTGGCTGATACAGTACTTTTAAATATAGGCCTACATTAAAACCTGACCAGTAACTGATTCATCTAACATGAGGGTGAAAAATACTAAGTTTGTAAAGAAACCGATTAAGGAAAATAGTGAAATCCAGCAAAGTGACCATATATTGTACAACTGCTTACATATTTAAAATAATAACAATTACACAAGTTGAATATACTTCTGTTTAAACATCTAATTGTTATGTATTATTAAAGTAAAACGCCTATTTACTGGATAAATTACATATATTGTAAAATATATCGTTTAAGGAGAACACTGTAGCTTTATGACAAGAATTATTAATTACACGTTATAATGTCAAACATTGTAATACAATTTTTCCTGATCCCAAACATGAACTGACAAAATAAAACTAGATTTTAAAGTCGGGTTGACTGCTCAAGGTCAACCCTTGACCAAACCCTCCTGGTAAAGAAATCATGTTAGAATATCGGAGCGGAGAGGGTAGTGTGTTGGCGCCGGTAGGCCTACCAACTACGGCTTCCCGCTCCACTATGTTTTGCCGCAACAACGTACATGTATGATTTAAAACCCGCTTAGCTACGCTCTAGCCTTGCCGCTCCACTCTGTTTTCACCCTAAGAATGCACTCATTAAACCTAATGTGATTTAAATAGGGAATAAAGTTTAACATAATATTTGCTGCGGCAGGGGTGTTTTACATTGAAAGAAATGATAAAAAATCCTACAACTAAAAGTGTAACAGTAAAAAAGTTCACTTATTGACTTAAGTGGATTTATCTTATTTTCAAATATTTTATTTACCATTTTGCTATCTTGCTTGAAGTAGACTAGATTAAATATGATTGGCATAGGCAATCGAACAAATCTGAATTATTGTTAATCAAATTTAAGTGTTGAATCTTTCAATAGGTTAATGCGTTTAATACAATAATTGCATAATCCTTTTAAGCGATAGAGTGAAGTATGGTAGAAGTGTTGACTATTGGATACTGAAGTAGACTTCCCATCTATATGGACCAGCTGAACAATTTTTTATGAAAAAAGAACATATAGTTGTGTGAGCCAGTCACAGAATGTGCTAGTAGTGTCTAAAATTCTATTTTATACCTTATTTTTTGTCGCTGGCCAGGTTGAGGGGTCATAACAGTTGCTATAACTCATCATAAGTCATTCACTATGTTTGACTTGGTAAAAAAGTTTGTGTAGGCTATTTGACAGAATCTAGTAATTTAGATAGTTGGCTCACATCAACTACTAAGATTTTGACAAAAAATCTGCCTACAAATTTAACATGGGGATGGAATGCCTAGTTGTTGTATTAATAGTCAAAGCCCTTATAGAGTAAATTAATTGCATTGTTTTTTTTTTCAAGTATAAAACCATTTTTTAAAATTATTTCTTAACAAACAGAACATGAGCTACTGTGTTAGTTAGGGGAGCGAGCTGGTCTAGGGGCTTAGCACGGGGCTTCAGTGTCCAAGATCCCGGGTTCAAATCCAACCAATCACCGATGGATTTTATCTGTGATAATGCCTCAACCCACTAGGACTAGCCTGAAGTTATGTGAAAAGTTCCGGGCTAGAACTAGCGTCCTCGGATGTGAATGTGGGAAACAACTGGTAGTTACGGTCTTAAGATCCTTCTACCTAAAACACTAGCAGACCAACATCCAAGACAACATTTCTGACATCACATCTGCGGATATCAGTTTGCTCAGAATATAGAAATTTTCTCAAAGAAATTATGCTGCTTCACTTTGTATTTGACTATGAAAATAATATGTTATGTATCACTTTTTGCAGGACACGGAGAACGGATACTTCATGAATGTAAACCACCAAGTAGAATATGTTTGTCGTCTCCTGGCTTCAGATGACAACCTTACTCAAGGCTACAACGCTATTGGTCTCTCTCAGGGTGCTCAGTTCTTGTAATTATTTTCACTACCTATAATAATATAACTAGGGTTCTCAGTCCCGGGATCCTAAATCCAGTTTTGGATACCTAGATATTCCAGGATAAGGGGATAAGGGTCTATGAATGCCGGGATTAACAGGATTACAAAATATATAGCCTACTTTTATTTTTTAAGAGTATAAGGAGTTTTATTTGTGGAAAGTTAAATAAATATGTTTAACCTTTCAGAGGGCACATTAGTATTCAAAACAGGAGAGGGCGCACCTGGAGGTTACTTCCAGGTCAATAAAAACAAAAATGTATGAAGTAAAATTTTTATTTTAGTGGACAAATTAAGTTTAATTTTAAATTTTAAACAAAAACGTGTTTAGTGAACTAATAATTATAAAATAACTTAATTAAGAATATATAACTAAAGTGAAACTATTATTCTATCTTATCTATTATAGGCTTACATCAAAGTATATAGGCCTAAGGAAATCTTTTACAAGAATATATTCAAGAAGTTAATTTAAATTGTACCGCGATGTCCTATAATGTGGTTCTAGATGATAAACTCACGATCGGTTTACTGAATGATCCTGTATACGTTGTTCGTGAATCTTCCTTTCAACACTGGCTAACAGTATTGCAATTCAAACATCTTCTCCACTCTTCTTGTAAAAACTATATATTTACTAAATAATGTCATGAATCGTATATAAAAATAATTATTTACACTCAATAATCAACGCACACACTAAACAAGAGGTTGCACACGGAAGTTGCCTCCTATGAACAGCTGTAATTAATACAAATTACTCGTCTGTTTAAGTAAACAAAATCTTTTCTTCATAAGAAATACATTGGGATTTTGATTGCCTGTGGGGCAAGGTCCGAGGACTTTTATTACAGGAATTGGTGAAAGGGGGTGTCTACACAAAAAATACTTTGAAAAAAAAAATATTTTGACACATCGTTTGTAAAAATCTGTACATTATTGACAGAGGAGTAGGCCTAGTGTGTCGTAGAAACCACCTTCACGTAGGCCTATAACCTATAAGGATTTTTTTTAAATATCGTAAGCATCAAACAATTACTATATTATAAAACATAATCCCAGGATCGGTTTGGACAAATCGAGAAATCCTGGGATTGAAGTCCCTGGGTTGAAACTCCTAAATACAAGTTGTTGGTTGCTAAGTTCTTGAGACTGAAATGACTAATTGAAATTTATTTGTAGGTTTTAATACATTTTTAACAAACTAATCAAAACAATACTGTAACATAAATCAAGTTTTGGAAATTTGGCACCCTTAAAGTCTGGCGATCTAGCTATAGCCCAAATCACAAGTTTGCCAGTTCAATCCCAGGTAAAGGCTAGTACACACAAAGGATTAACACTAGTTTCAGAATAGATTATATAATATAACTTTTTCCTACAGTTACCTGATAAAGTGGCTTCCTTGTACTGATTATAGCACGCAAAATAGCTAATTGCTGCATTTTACTTATTTTTGCCGCACTCATTTTACTTTTGCCACACTCATTTTTTTACCGCACTCCAGTATTCCAACCAAACAACACAAAACAGTGTGCTTTTATTAGGCACGTACGCTTGAAAATAAGTTGGCACAACTTAAAGATACTACGACTAATATCAGCTGGTGTAGTGTTTCCCCGTTTCGTTCTACTATGCTTGGATTTAAAATAACCTTAAAATGTGTTGTATAGTGTTTGAAAGACTAATTGCTATATGCTTTATAGTAACTGTAGGAAAAGTGATATGTAACGCGAGTGCAAAGTGCCTTTGCTTGCTCTTGAGAAACTTTCCTCGATGTTAGTTAACATTTCTCTCATGTGCAGAAAAGTGCCACTTTGCACACCAGTTACAAAATAATTATTTTGCCACGATAAATGTATATTTTCAATGATCCAGCACTGCTGTGGAAACAGGTGACATTGTCAATATTCTTAGAAATAAATAACATAAAAAATAGGTTCAGACATTAATGGATCATTGTCATTTAAATAATCATTTATGGAGTAATACACTTAAGATAAAAGATTGGATTTAAAAGAGTTTTTAAATTTTGAGATTTCTTTGATTCTGGCAGGTAGGTTATTGTTAAGTGTTAAACTCATATAAAAAAAGGATTTTCCAAATAAACAGAGGCGAAGTCTTGGGTATTGAAAGTCATTTTTAGACCGGGTTGGATAGTTCAGCAATGATTGATCATATTTTTAGTGAGAGAAGATGCCTGATAGTTCTTGAAGGGGTTTCTTTTGTTTGCAGGAGAGCAGTTGCGCAGAGGTGTCCTTCTCCCAGAATGCATAACCTTATTTCCCTAGGAGGCCAACACCAGGGAGTGTACGGCCTTCCTCACTGTTTCTATCCTCCTCACAAGTACTGTGACTACATGCGCTCGCTAATCAACATAGGAGCTTACTGGGGGTGAGTAAAATAATGTTACTTACACTTACAAGGAGTTTGTTTTTTTTATTGCCGGGGAGGGGGAGGGGTAGTAGGTGCTTATTCAGGTAGCTCGGGTTGTGGAATGAAGCACATCTAAAAAACTTTTGTTTATTTAACCTACAAGAGGGTTATTATGTTTGTAGTATTACCTAGAAGACGGTACAGTTAAGTCTCGATAATCTGAAAGTCAGCTTTATCCTAAACCAAAAAAGATAGTTTTTACTTTTTATTTAATAAATAAAAAAAAAACAATTGGCATTTTTGCAGTTTATTGTAGACATAAAAAGTGATGACCCAGTATGTGCTGTCTGTCACCTATTGGGAAAAGCCGAAACCGCTAGCACTGTCCTCTAACGAAAGTAGTTGTACCTCGTTGAAGTATTCTGTAGCGGCCTGGCGAAATAAACTTGTTGTATAGAGTACTTTAGTTTTAAACATTTTTCTCTAGGGAGCCAGCTGGTCTAGTGGTTAGAACGCGGGACTTCGGTCCCTGTGGTCCTGGGTTAAAATCCCGCCAAACTGCCAATGGATTTTATCTAAGTGATAATGCCACAACCCCCTGGGTCCAGCCTAAAGTAATCTGAAGAACAATCCTGAGTTTGTGCTTAGCGTCCTAGGACGAAAAAAAATTTAAATTTTCTTAATCTGAAATATTCGGTAATCCAAAATGGATCCGGTCTCAACCATTTCGGACTATCGGGACTCTTACTGTATATTGGTCAGAATTGAGAACGAGTGTACATTATAGCCCATCCATTACTGCAGTACAATGCATCCATAAACCATGTAATACAAATAAGAAGAACAGCCATATTAGCTGTGCAAAAAACCTAAACATAAAAATGATCCAATCTTTTTCTTTTTCTTTTTTTTTTACCTTCATCCTAGTTTTAACCATACCAAAATCAAAATCCAAATCAAAATTATGGGAGTCCAGCGTAGATGCAGCACCAACATGTGTTAGCCCAGACTTTAGGCTGAGGCAGGTTCTATCACAGTTGTGTCTGTAACTAACCGTTTCTCTTGTACTAGATGGGTCCAAAACGAGCTAGTTCAGGCAGAGTATTGGCACGACCCAATGGATGAAGACAAGTACAAGCAGAACAGCGTGTTTATAGCAGAGATAAACAACGAGATATACCAAAACAACACATACAAGGAGAACTTGTTGAAACTGGATAACTTTGTTTTGGTCAAGTTTGAGTACGACAAGATGGTGGAACCCCATGAATCATCCTGGTTCGGGTTTTATACACCAGGTCAAGCTGTTGAGATCACACCGTTGAACCAGTCAAAATTGTACATTGAGGTAAGTTGTGGAAAAGAGAAAGTTATCAGTATTCTATTTTTATTTTTACTTTACCATTATCGTGATTAAATAGTTGCAGCGTTTTGCCAAAAAAACATGAGAGTTTTACCATCCCAAACAAATTAGTGTAAAGCTAAACATAAAAGCACAATTAGTTTGAGCTTTTTTCATTTTAATTTAGTTTAACAGTTAATTTTCTAATGCTCGCACTGACATACCTGTCTGAAATTGACGGTGTGATCAGCCTTTTGGATGTAATTTTTGGAGAAGTAGGTCTATATCAACAACTCCCTTTCAAAATGGAGATTCCTTTCATACTGTACTGCCTATTCAACCAGTAGTAGGCCTAAATGTTCAGAATTCTGATTTAATGTCAATTTTTATGTAATTTTGTTATAGTGTGCAATTTTTTGGCCATAATATTTCAAACATTATTTTAATGCACTGTTGGTTGATAAGAGTTTGCCATATTCAGGGCCGGATTTCCCAATAGGCCCGGTAGGCCCAGGCCTATGGGCGCAAGGTCCCAGAGGGCACGGCCGAGTGGAAATTTTTTTATACCCAGGCTATCTAAAAATAAAAATAAATAGTCAAAGTTGATAAAAAAAACCCCAAGGCATTGTGATTCTGAAGTTAATAAGAAGAAATAATATGTTAGGAAATTTAAACTATTCTTTCAGAATTACTCATCATTTTGTTTCAAAATTGGTAACGAACATTGGTTATACGGAAGTAGGCTGTAGGGATGTTGACGTAAGGATGTTAAGGCTAAACAAGTCAATTCAACAAAAAAACTTGCAATGATTCCAATGTGGAGTGGTATTCAAGCAACTAACTTAGGCCTATGGGCATGCGTATAAAACAATAATCCGTCCAGTAATTTATATGGCTCAGAGACTTGGATCCTGAACAAAAAAGAAGAAAGAAAAATAATAGTTTTTGAAAATAAAGTATTGAGGAAAATTTTTGGCCCTACGCTAGAAAATGGAGAGTGGAGGAAGAGGCACAACCAGGAAGTAAGAGAAATGTACAAAAATGCAGACATCATCGGAGAAATAAGAAGTAGGAGACTAAAATGGGCAGGACACATACTAAGAAGAGAAGAGTCAAACCTGAAGAACATTCTGAGGGGAACACTAGAGGGACGAAGATACAGGGGACGACCAAAGACTAAATGGTGGAACCAGGTGCAACAAGACATGAGGCGGCTGGGAATTGGAGAGGAGGATGCTGAAGAAAGAGACGGATGGAGGCGCTGTGTTGCTGAGGCCAAGTACCGACTGGGGTACAAATGGCCAGGGCAGTAAGTAAGTAAGTAAGTATGGGCAGGGCCGGATCTAGACAATTTTTGAGTGGGGGCAAACTAAAATTTGCCGCCCCTCCCCCCCCCTTCACCCACGACAAAAAATCCCTCACAAATTAAACAAAAATGGAGGGTAAAGTGGAATAGGTAGATATAACGAATTCCTTGACATAACGAATTTTTTTAAATCCCCTAGAACTCTCCATAAGACACAATGTATATTTTACCTCTACATAACGAACAAATATAACAACGACCTTGATTTAACGAATTTTTCGTGATTTCGGCTAAAATAAGACACCTCAATATAACAAATTTATCATTGTCAGAACCTCTACATTGCGAATTTAACCTCTGCATAACAAATTGTCTACGTCTTTCCCTCGATATAACAAATCCCCCACCCAATTATTGTTTTGGGAAAATCTGTTTCTTTATCAAATGAAATGGAAAGGTCACGTCATCGCTTGCGCTAACATTCGTCTGCTCCGTTTTACATCTTTGTCTGCTGTCTCTGCGCGCGCTATGTTGCAATTGAGAACTGATTTCATTCACTGAGGACTGATGACGACGTAATGTTTAGTAAGCTGTGATTGGGCGATATGGGATAACTATGGTGAATTGTACAATTTTTTTGATAAAGAAAAACCTAAGAAAGAATATAAAAACAAAACCAAAGAGAAAGAATAACAACATCGTTTTTTTAACATTCCTTTTACGAGTATTTTTACTATCCTTAAGTTGGCTATGATTATACACTTTTATAATGACTTATCTAATAATTTATTGTTTTCAATACGATTTGTTTCAACTAGCATTAGCAACACCAATGCTATAGTTAATGATTATTATTGACATTCCTCTGTTGTGATAAAACAGTACTGCATATTACTTCTCTGTGAGTACTGTACTGTAAGTAGCCTACCGCCGCGGGCAGTAGCTTACAAAACTTTCTACTGTTTTGTTGTGTTCTTTACATAATTTATGACTACGCAATACAGTGTTTGGCTAGGTTTTAGGAGGGTTAGAACAAGCTGTGATTTTAAACTTATAGTTTTTAACCTGTACCAAGGTCAATGCCATTGTCATGATTGCGCAATATTCAAGATCCCTCCCCTTTATTATGCCGGATAATTTAGGGTCTACTGTACAATGTAAACACTGTACTGTAAAGTATTGTAGCCCATGCTACTTTAATTGTACTGTATTTTAATGAGGTCAAGTCCCGACCTATATTGATCGACGCTGGTTCTGAACCTCGACTTAGCGAAATTCCTGCAAACCTAACCTCTATATAACGAACCACGGCAGTGAGGCAGGGCGGCATGGCGCCTTCTTGACAGGGATGGCGATCAGCTGAAATTATAAACAAACTTTTCTGTGCTGCTAACTATGCTATTAGGGCTATCAGTGTTTTCTACTCCGTTGCAATTTATATTGATTTCTATTGTAAAATTATTGTTTGTTTATTACGTTATGCAGTTTTGAAATTACTTAATTGACGTTCCTTATGACGTTCGGCTCATTAAAAACTTTTTACACACTGTATTAAACAAATTTACTGCAACCAGAAATTTGCCGCCCCTCAACCCTGCCGCCCGGGGCAACCGCCCCCTCTGCCCCCCCCTTGTTCCGGCCCTGAGTATGGGCATGATATAGTTTTTAAAGAAGGAAAGTAACTGTGACCAGACTAAAGGGGCGGAAAATTATTTGGGCCTAAGAGCGCAAAAATACAAAATCCGGCCCTGGCCATATTAGAAAATTTCCGTTATAGGGATTAAGCTATAACCAGGACCAATATACTCTTTAATTTTTATCTCCCCAGCAGGCGAAAAACACCAATTATTCAAATTCATATAAACATGTGTCCGTTAGCATGATAACTTGAGTAAAAATTATCTGATTTCAATGAAATTTGGCACAATTTTTTCTACTAGGCTAATTATTTTTCACGATAAAAAAAAAATATATATATATAGGCCCTACCTAATTTACAAGTTATTGGACATTTAAAAAATAAGGAACATGTCTCAAGAATACATATATACTTTTAATTGTATACCTTTCATAATGAAAAACCAAAATAAATAATTCCTTTTCATATATAGGTATATATAATTGTAGTAGAAAACAAAATATCCTCAAGGTAGGTTTCGTGTAATTTGCCAATTTTCTTGGAATTTGTCACCATGAAACCAAGAGCCAATTTCACAGTGGACTAAACCATTATAGCTGTTTTTGTTTCAACCAAAAAAAGCAAAATCAAATTAAAATATTGTTAAACATGTTTGAGGCCTTGATTATGACAATTACATGTGCACTGCAGAGCTCTAGTTCTAACTGACTTTTGTAGGATCAAACTAAAATGATTTGTATAAATAAGCTAGTATCCCATATGTTGCAGGATAGACTAGGGCTACAACAGCTGGACCAGTCTGGCAGATTGCAGTTCCTCTCAGTCCCCGGTGATCATCTACAGTTCACCATCGAATGGTTTAAACAGGCCATACTTGATAAGTACCTGAGTTAAGATATAGGGTACAGCCGTTTCTTGCATCATGAAATGTCTGTTAAAATATCCATTAGCAAAAAAAAGTTATGACATAGTATATATTGTGATTTTTAGTATCATTTAGGTTTTGGAAATAATCAAACAATTGTGTAACCTAAATGAAAGTCACAAGTTATGAAGCTACAGTTGATGTGAAATGGTCTCGCATAACTTGTAGATATTATTATTTTTGGCGCCATTTAGGGTAATATCTATGATAAGCTTGATTTCATTGTAACCTTAGTCGTGCCTTATGGGATTGTGATTTAGAACCTTGCCAAAGACATGGTATTTTCATATAGAATTTATTTTTTCGTGATGTTAGATTTAGTTTAGTGTGCCAAGTATTGTATTGTCATTTGTCACCAACAGTACAATATCTTTTAAACTTCTGTTTATTTTATGATGATTATTGTGACAAGTAGGCTGTGTTATTCATCTATTATGTTTAATTTTGAGTGCCATTCCAGACTTTTACTTAATTTTAGCAAGTTTTATATTATTGTTTACATTACAAATCTATTGAAAACTCCATACATTGTATGGATTTATCCATTAACATTAACGTAAATAAAAAAAAAATACTATTTGTGTCTATAATGTCTCAGTTTCTCCCTTTAGTTATTCCAAAGATGTTAGTTTTAACTTTAACAATGCCAACCTGAGCTATGATATCATCATTCATTTTAGCCTCTGGATTGCTACATGTAATTAATATTGTAAGGTCTTGCCTTTTACTAGTTTTGCTAAGGTAAGACCTTACAATATCAACTATGATATCAAGTGTATGTGGATAACTTGGCCCGGACCGAAAAATTGGTTTTTGGTTTATTTCTATAAATTTGAGAGGTCAGGAGTACCTGATAAAAGCAAGATCTTTTTAAATCTGGTGTATGTGTTTTGCATGTTAATTTGATATGGAACTGGTAAATCTTTGAATATTTGGCAATTGCCTAAGATTGAGGGTTATTCATTCAATAAAGGTTCCTGAGCTGGTTTCCATCAGTCTGGGTTTGGAGGCAGCACTCTAAATAGTCTTAAAATAAACCAACAATATCGGGGTAATCTAGTTGCTACAGCCTGGAACTTCTTTCTTCGAGATCCTGGGTGGAAATCTCACCAATCATTAATTGATAACCATTACTTTTAATTGATTAAAATATTTTTCCAACTGGGTTACCTGACAAAGTGGGTTTCCTTGCACTGATTATAGCACGCAAAGTAGCTAATTGCTGCATTTACTTACTTTTGCTGCACACATTTTTTTTGCCATATTCTAGTATTCTATCCAAACAACACAAAATAGTGTGCTTTTATTAGGCACGTAATACGTTTACACTTGAAAATAAGTTGGCAACACTTAAAGATACTATCAATATGATCAGCTGGTTCAGAGTTTCTCATTTTGTTTAACCCTTTGATTTAACCATAGACAAAAAGAATTAAATATATACCGTCAGCTGTGCTGCGGTTACCATAGGTTCTGGCGCACACCACTGGGAGCGCCATTTAGTTACGGCATACACGCTACGTAACTACACGGCGCTCCCAGCGGTCTGCGCCAGAACCTATGGTAACCATGGTAACCACAGCACGGCTGACAGTCTATATTTAATTTTTTGTCTATAATTTTACCCAACCAAAAAATATGTATAAGAGTGTTTGAAAGACTAATTTTTTTATTTGCTTTATGGTAACTGTAGGAAAAATATAATGTGTATGTGAGCACAAAGTGCCACTTCCACTTCACACACTAGTAACACAAATTATCACACCTAAAAAAATATCTGTTGAAAAGGTTGTGTGACAACTAGAAATGTCTTTATGGAAGAAATTTCATTCATGATTTTATGACATCATACCGTAGCAGTTAACAAGGTTAATTGTTGATATAATTACCACATGTGGTTTAGCAACAGCTGTAAGCCCATGAATAACAGGCAGAAAAATTCAAAACTCAGTGTTAAATTCTAGTCAACTAATCTATTAATATGTATAATAAATACCTACTCAATCTACTTCGACAGTTTGAAAAAAATAATTAATATCGATGTATACATTACCTTGCTTATTTTTTTAAACAATAAAAATTCAAACTACAAAATATAGACCCAAGGAGATGTCCGGTAAAAAGTCTGGGATGGAATTAAAACCTTATCCAGTAGAATTTCCTTAATTTTTAAATGTTAACTGCCAATGTGTTTTAATTTTTCCCCCCAATGGTTGTACAGCTTTAGACCTGTATAAAAAAGGAACTTTTTTCAAATTTTGGTGTCCTATGTATTGTATAACTGTATTTAGGTTCTTTTTCTAGCTCTCCAGTCTTTCATAGTATGAGCAAGCCTTCACTTCTTCAATAGCATAGCGCTTTGCAATTACTACTTTTGTTTTATTTTAAATTTGATACTTTATTTTAATGCAAACTAAAGCCTTACTGAACAAGTTAAATTATATCTATGGCTTGCTGGCCATAATTGTATATACAATATGAAGATTTCTAGTAATTTTAAACTTAGGTTACATAGTCCAGTTAGTTGTTAAGGTAAATTTACATACCTTTTATCATTTCGGTTGGATAATCAACTGTACACAAATTAAGAACCATTATTCTCCTATCTTGTTTATCTTATGATGGTTGGCAATAGGAAATACACAGTAAAACTAACAACAAAAGTAGAACTGGATGAGGTATTAAACAATGTTTATCTTTATTAAATATCAGCAAAGTCCCATTTTACCACCTTATCTGGGCACTTATCTACATGTGAGGGCATCAAGTGACATGTCATTTTTCCATTAATTTTAGGGGTTGGTGGAGAGGGGGGTGTATTTTCCTATTCAGTCACTGATATTTCATTTGATTCACCCAAAGTATTAATTTAATTGTTACATTGGCTTAGTACCTACCATCTGCTATTTGTCATACAAGTGTAAACAGTTTGAAGAGTGCTAAGTCAATTTCAAAATGAAACTTGTTCAAGCTATTATACTTTTGGTTTTTATTGACTGTGACATTGATTCAATCATTCTTAAAAACACGGTTCAAATAGAGTTTGATGATTTAAAACAACATATTAGCAATGTCTGCTCAGATTTTTTCAAAAGAAGCTTTTGTATGTGGAGTTCTATTGTTTATGGTGATTTACAAACTTTTATTTTACAACAGTGTTACTCTTTTATTCCAGTACTTCAATATACCTCTGAGGAGAAAATTGTAAACGAGTGTCAAAAGTCCATGATTATCGACAGAGGTAACTTCAGTGTTTGCCAACTTATTTTACATAATAGTGTAGTTCAAGTTATAAGCATAGTGGTTTTAACAAATAAACCAATCGATGATTTTATCAACAAAAACTCAGAGTGTTCCAGTTTATTTGATTCTATGAATTTTGTTGTAATTTCACTCCAAAACCAAGAAATGAGACTGTTAAACACTACTGTGAGTTCTATGAATTATTTGATTCCAAATGGAATGATAAGGAAGAATAAAAAGTTAACGATTCCTAATTTTGAAAGGAAACTTATCAAGGTTGCAACATTTCACTTTCCTCCATTTTCACTCTTGCTGAACAGAACTGGAACAAGTAAGTATGTGCATTTATTCTGTAATTAAGATATATACATAGTTATATGTATTATACATAATATATAAAGTTGATTAAATTAAAAAAACAGAGTGCAACATTATAATGAGTAATGTAAGTTCAGTTTATGACTAGACCACCAAGTAGGTGAGGTGTCATTAGATAAGATATCAAAAGATTACTTCAAATAAAATCAACCCACACACCTTTTTGTGCATTTTAAAATAAAATGTTTAACATTGTTGAACGTGTTACTATAATTTATGAACTTAACAATATTACAGGGTGGAACGAAGTTAATGTAAAAAAATCTATGTGTTAAACTATTATGTATTGGTGACAACATGGCACCAGTTTAGTCTTCCATACCCTCTCAGATAGGGTATAACAGACAAATAATGATGTTTTTATTATGAAGATTACCTTTTCAACGGATTGCCATGGCCATACAAAAAGAAATGTCGCCAGTATCATTGGATCCTCACCCGCAGACGACGACCTTTTGTCAATATTTTATTCATAAAATTCTTGTAAAAATTTGTATAGGTACTATCATTAAATCACTGTTGTTTACTTAAAAAAAAACTACAATGTTTTCAACGTATTTGTATTTGCTTACTTACATAAAATGGCTTTAAGTCTTATAGCCATTTTATGTAAGCAATAAGTGCACTATACAGTACCTTGTTTTTATTTTGAATTTACTGTTATTTTCAGAATCCTCATCCTATTCACCATAGTATAGTACTGAGTAATTGAGATAAAGCATTTGTATACACGCTTATTCTGCAATGGAAGTTTGAATTTGTGATTTTTGAGAAGAATTCAATAACTTTTACAGTACATACTTTTTATGCTAAACTTGACTGTAGGGACTGTCAAATATTATCTTTCTTGTTATTGAAAAACATTAAATATCGTTTGCGGTGTTAGTTCTATGGTACATCCAAACGATGTGCAAGATTGACTCAATGCAAAATACACAGCTTGGATGATGATAATTATACTGATGAGTCTTATTGGCTCGATGGCCTGCCAGGTCGCCAGACCCATTGGACTTTCTGTGTGGCTATCTAATTTGGTCTACTCATCTGCAATGGACGATAATCAGGAAATTCACAACCGGATAATGAACGATTGCTAATCACCGAAAGATGTGCTTGCTTTGGATTTCATATTTCACCTTCTTGTGAGCACTTCCTTCCCTCTCGGGTTGCAAGTGCATGTGCTACGGCCGAAATTTGAAAATGTAATCTAGTGCTACAAATTTTCTTAGTGAAATACACAATAATTTTTATCCTCCTCAAGGATACAATCCTTTTACAGCTCAACATACTATTTCAGCTGAATACTTTGGAATTGAGATGAGCCTGTTTCTCAAACTGGCGGCATATCTCAACTTCACTTGGGAATTTATACCCCTGAAGGCCCCAGGAAGGTTTGGCGCAATGTTGGACAATGGGACGATGGTGGGGGGAGTGAACCAGGCTATGCGAGAGGGGGCGGCCGACATTACCTTCTGTAACATCTGGCAGCGGGAACTGTCCAGCAACAACATGGACTTTGGACCACCTCTTAACATGGTAGGAAGTCTGGTTTGTTGATTATTAGTATAACTGTGATTCTAATGTATTAATTTTTTATTTTCTATCCCGGTTTTAGAAACTAAGAGCTTTAATTATATTAGATTACATTTGTTGTTTTTAGTCTGTAGGGTTGTTGGGGCAAAATGCATTAGGTGATACAAACATCTTACCTACTCAAGAAGTACAGAGTACAGGCCACAACAACAAAGGTTATCTAATGTGATGACAGTCTTAAGGGTGCGCTCTACCCGTCTGGCGCGCGCGAATGCAAAGGGTTTAGTTCTTACTGATTGTAGCCCCAATTGTGAACCGATTTAAAAGATCTTGTTTTCATATTTTTCGTTAAATATATTTGTAGTTTTGCCGTTTTTTTAAATTTTGATAATTTAAAAAATGTTG